GCTGGTAAAGGCCTGTTTGGGGGGGGTTAAATACAGTTTCTATAATACATTTCCCTGTAGTAGAACACTTTAGTCCCATGTGTGACCTTAGGACTTCTTTAAGGTTATGTTGAGTGGATTCCTGCAGCTCAAAATGCTTAATACTGTTCTAACAGAAATTGTGCTGCAACTTTACTTTTGGTTTTAGTCGATGGCAGATTCTTAGCTAATGTGTTTCATTAAAGTATGCTGTGTCTCCTGCATATGCATCTGTAGACCTCCTGCCTCATGGAAGCTCTGCAGACGCTCCTTTTGAGATGCAGCCATGGAAAACGTGGTGTAGGATTGGAACAGAAACTGTGCAGGTGATGTCTTGTGGGTGAGGGGAGATTTCTTTCTTTTTTACCTCTGTCAGCCTTTTTAAGCCCACAGTCGAGGCACTTGGTGGTCCTGGCTTCATCACCCATATGTGGGATTTCCATGGGACGGCAGTGTAGAACATTGTTAAATGCAGGGTGTCAGTGGGGAGATGGTGCTGCTGCAGGTTGGTGACTGAGGTTCACGGGGTTTCTTGTGCAGATCGAGCATGGTGCTGTCTGACTGCGTAGCTGTAACTGCACGGGAGGGTCTCATCCTCGCCAGCATGAGACCACCTCACCAGAAGCATTAACTTTCATCTCACACAAGAACCCTGAAACTCCCTGCACTTGCATCATGTATGGGTTGGCGGCTTAATTACTAAAAAGTTAGAGCTGTCCTCAGAAGACTGATTATTCTGAATAATTTATTTTTACCTAAAACTGATAGATGTACTTCAGGAGAACTATTTTAGTTATCACAGTTTGATGTGGCACTGTGTACCTGGACAGAGGTGGGGCTGAGATCTACAGATAAAACTTTAAAGTTTGAAATTTTGTGGGGGCGTGGCTGATGAAGGTAAGAAGTTTTGAGGTTATGGTTTGAGGAAAATCATGAAATGCTGTGGCTTTGGAATAAGCTGGTGAGAAATGCCTCAGGGGAGGACACGTTTGCATTTTAGAATATAAAATTGCTTTTGAAGTCTCAGGAGCTGAGCAGTATTCAAAAAAGAATCAAGTGTTTAAAAGTAGGTGCAGAATGAAAGACAAGTCTTTCTGAGGCCACAAAGACAATCAGGCCATGTAGACAATCTGTTTTCACTTGTATATTTTGAGTTGGGAAGAAGATGGTAGCTAATGGCAGCTGATTTGAAGTGGAAAAGAAGGATTTGTTGAATTACTGGAACTGGATTACTTTACTCCAGCGTAGGATTTCCTATTTAGTTGGATGTGCAGAGGGAGAGGAGAAACCATCTTTTCTTAGAAGCATTATTCAGAAGCTAGTGTTCATACTACATCTCACTCACACAACACGTGTACCTGTGCTACCTGCTACTTCTTATTCTCTGTCTACTGAAACTTTGGTGCAGAAGCTCCTTGTTTACATGAAGCACTTTCTGATTAGGCTGGAAACTGACACCTTTTCCTCCTATAAATTTGATGGAGATGACAGATTACTGACTATTTTGCTTGGATAGAGGTATAAACATTGTTTTCTTGAATGAGGGAGACTTGTGCTCCTTGTTCTGTTAAAGAGAGAGCTCAGACTTTGTATTTAGTGAGCAACATGCAAAAACTTCTTATTCCCTTTTCCCCAACTACCCTTCCTCTTTTCCTTAATATATGGATGAATAACTTAATTCCTAAAACACATTTTTTCCTTTAAAATGTTTTGTTGTTCTACGGAATTACTGTAGTTGTGTATTAGTAACTGCTGTGTTGATTGGCAGTTTCCTGTTGTATTTTTCCTGTTTATAAGGACTTTCTCTTATGAAAATTAAGGCTGTGGCCACCTGTACTTGTAAAGCCTTGGGTTTTGGTCCTGGAATGTCCCAAATGTTTGTCTTAGGTTTTTTTTTTTGTTTGGTGGGGGTTTTGAGGGGGTTGGGTGTTAGTTTTGTTTGGTTTTTTGGTTTGTTTGTTTTGGTTGGTTTTTTTGGTTGGGTATTTTTTTGTTTGTTTGAAAGAACACTAAAGCTGTTTGAGGCACTGTTCCTTCTTCTAATAATTCTATGCTTCTATGGTAGAGGTGGTGCTGAGCCCTGTGTGGTGCAGGGAACAGCTGAGAGGGAAACTTGTAAAACCGCACTTGGGGTTTCTGTAATTACCTGTACTGCCAGGAGGCAGCCCCGCCTTCGGCAGCATTATGGATGTTTCTTGTCCTTGTGTTGTTACTGGTATAAAGTCAAGTGCCTTCAATGCTAAAGGCTCAGAAAACTTTCTTAAACTGACTTCATGTCCTATGCAAGTGTTTTTTCTACAACCTGCATAACCAGTACTTTGTAAAACTTGTTTACGCTTCAATTGTACATAGTGTTTTTTAAAAAAAAAAATAGTATTTTTATTTAGGTACCTCCAAACTTGAATTCTAGTCTTGTGTGATGCATTGTAAAACAATACATTTCTCTTTTGAGTACCATTACAGTTGTAAAAAGGTTTTCACTGGTTCTATTTTTCTACTGTTGCTGAGAAGCATGTAACACTGACTTTATCCTACATATAGTTGGCATTTCAAATAAATGGCTTGTATAGAACATGCTTGTGTGGCTGCTTCCCGTGAACTGTGACCAGCAGTGCTGGGCTGGCTACACCCACCACCCTGTCCTGCACACTCCAGGCTGGCAGTGACTGAGGGCCCGGGGAAAGGAGCGGAGCAACACAAACAGAAAGGTGCCCTCTGACTGTAAAGGCTCCTCAGACTGACAGGGTTTGTTCCTCCTGGGGGAAAAAAGTACCCAATAATGCTTTGAGCGTCAAAGACATGATATAAAACAGTGTAAAAAGAGGGATTCAGAATCTGTGGCACTGATCAGGCACTTTTTAAAAAGGAAAAAGCATTTCAGTGAAAGAGTTCTGTGAGTTCTGCCTAGAGCCTGATGGACTGAGGCCATTCCCTGTGAAAGGCAATAGGGCTCAGAGCTGGGGCCATGGGACACCGCCCTGGATCCAGGAAGTGCGTGCTCAGCTGGACAGACACATTTAGTACTTGGCACTCCCAAGTTGCAGTTTTGCTGCACTGGCTGACTGTTCATTACATCTCATTCACAAACAAGTGTCTCATTGGTTCAGAGTGATGACTGAAGTTCAGCAGTGTCATCCAGGCGCTTGACTGGTCTCACTTTGATGTACAAGAGCAAAATACTGTGAATTACGATCTGACACAGAGCAGAGGTGCATGAGCACAGTGGGGCTGGGGCTGGGCCTCACTGCAGCACTTCTGTGTGCCCTGGGGCCTCCTTGTGTGTATTTATTGTGGAGAACAACACAGCTTGGAACAGCGAGGTGTTGGGTTCAGGGTGATCTGAGCTCCGAGCTGGAACCCAGGACAATGATTGCCTCTGGGCCCCCTCTCCCTCACCCCTTCAGTGAACTACAAAAACAGCAATACAGAGCAAACATACCCCCATCCTGCTTTTTCCTGTACTTGCTGGCAGGATGCAAGCCCTTGTTTCACACCTGGGTTAGGTGGAGGCAAAGGTCTAGGAATCCTGGGCTTGACTCAGCCCCTGGGATGTATCTTGGTCATCACTGGGCTCCCTGTGTCTGCCTGGATCTTGGAAACAAAACACTACAGCAGCAGTGAGAAAAAACAAGACAGTACAGATTGAACAGTTCTTTAATTCTTTTTATATTGTAATTAGATGTGCAGTTACAACTCCTGTAACAGTTGCTACCAAAAAACAGCATGTACAATACCTGGAGTTAAATTTAAAAGCAACTAGGAAAGGGACCTGAGGGTTCTGATCAATGCCAAGTTGGAATGAGTGAGCAGTGCCCTGGCAGCGGGGAGGGCCAACCGTGTCCTGGGGTGCATCAGGCAAAGCATCGCCAGCGTCGTCGAGGGAGGCGATTGTCCCTGCTTCTGCTCTGCACTGGGTGGCCTCACCTTTGGAATATTGGGGCAGTTTTGGGTGGCCAACAATAAAAGAACAGATATTAATAGCTATGGAGGTGTCCAGAGGAGGGCAAGAAAGATGGTAAGTGCTGGAAGGGAAGCCATAAGAGGGGCAGCTGAGGGCACTTGGTCTGTTCAGCCTGGAGGAGACTGAGGACAGACAGTGTGGCAGTCCACAACTTTCTCACAAAGGAAAGAAGACGGGCAAGAACTGATCTCTTCTCTACTATGACCAGTGACAGGACTTGAGGGAATGACCTGAAGCTGAGTCAGGTGAGGTTTAGGTTGGGTATGAGGGTGTTTGGGCACTGGAACAGGCTCCCCAGGAAAGTGGGCACGGCCCCAAGCCTGACAGAGTTCAAGAAGCATTTGACAATGCTTCAGGCACATGGTGGGATTCTTGGGGTGCCCTGTGCAGGGCCAGGAATTGGAATTGATGATCCTGATGGGTCCCTTCTAACTCAGCATATTCTGTAATTCTATGAAACGGATGAGCTGATCCTCTATGCTACAACTAGTTTTTGTAAATAAAGTGGTCAGAAACAGTTAATAGTGAGAATGATAAAGGTCTTTGTTCTCAAAAATCATTAACATAGAAGCAGAATAGTACCCCACGGTATAGAAATCCTCAAAAACTAGAACTTTAATGTATGTTTTGGGGGCTGAGGATAAAGAAAACTAAAAACTACATTAGGCTCCAAAAATTACAAAAAGTCAATTCTTAATTGCAGCTAAGTGTAGAGTCTTAAAAGTCAGTGAAACATCTCCCATGCTTATCACAGTGGTTATAAAAAGATCATGTTTCATACTGTAGCAAAATACCAGGATGCTTCAGGGTTTTCAGCAACATTTATGAAGTAGAATAATTTGCTGTAGGCTAGTTTTTGAACTCAAAGCACATTACAAGTCCTATAACAAACCCCCCATGCTTAGTTTGTAATTCAGTACCTCCTCCTAGATATTGTTTATATTCTAATAAGTGAATTGAGATCGTGTGACAATTTTTTTCATGTAAAATATCACTGTACAATATTAGAAACAGGTTTTTGAATGTATAAAACCAGATAGAACATTCTGTTGCATCAAGCCTAACCTCTGATTCCCCATTTCTGACCTGCCCAGGGAGCGCTTCCCCAGCAGTGAGCGAGCAGGCAGCAGTGACACGTGGTTTGGCTGCCCTGGAGGGACCCGTGGGTCACCCACAGCCACAACTCTGCCCGCTCCAGCCACTGAGGAGCCACGAGCCCTGCACAGGAACAGACACCTCCTGGGTGCAGGAAGCCCTGGCCAGAATTGCTGCACCCCAAAGGGCGAGACAGAGCCATTTACAGCAGGAAAGCAAGGAGCTCGTTGCCTGCACTGCAGAGAGGGGAGGGCAGGGCAGGCAGAGCCCACGTGGGTTTAGCACAGCCTACAGCTCTAGGCACTGACAGGAGGCTAAAGGGTGAAAGGCTACAGGGAACAAACAGTGACACACTGTTCTGGTAACAAGCCAACTCTCCCTGGAGACAAGGCTGGCTTTTGGGGGAATGCAAAGTCGATCGGTACCAAAATCCCTCTAACTGCAATGGTAAGAACCTTTTAAGAACATGTTTTAGTTGCTACAAATAAAGTAGGAGACAAAATGAAGATGTTTCTTGGACAGCTGGATTTTGATGAGAAGCTGATATACTGAGATACTGAAGATGCCTCTTCTGTTTGCCAGTGAATATTGTTTTCCCAGTGGTCCTTTCAGACCCAAACCCTCTCAGTCTAACTACAGTAGTACTGCATCCTGTTAGTCCGTCGCCTTTTCCGTGACTGAAACTCTTCAAAGAAGTGCTGAATGTCTTCTCTTTTAACCACCTAGAAGAGCACGAAACCCAAGTTTTGGTGCGGTGCAAGAGCTCAATTAAAGGATCCCGTTTTTTACCCCCACATGCAATACACAAAGCACAGGAAAGCAAATATCCTGAAGTTTCTCTGATACAGCTCTTCTGTTGCACCCAAAGGAGACGATTAATGCCCAAATTCTACTACAGAGAATACAAACAGGGAAACGAGTTCCCCTAAGGCAGAACAAACACATGGAGCAAAGCTCCCAGTGGTACTTTGACCTCTTGATTTTACCATAAGAAAATTTAACACAAAGAAAGATCTTCATTAGCTCACTTCAGTCTCATTCCTATGTAACTATGAATGGCAATCCAGCAAATCTGCCACCAAAATGCAAGTGTTAATGAATAATAACAGGTGCATTCCTGCAGGAAAACAACTGACAAGACTGACAATCATAGGTAGTCTTTATTCTTCTAAGGGTTTAAATTCAATCTAAGAAAAAACAGAAAATTTAAGAACTTTTTTTCTCTGACTACTTCTCCTAGAGCAACAGGAGTTTCCTTTAAATGTAAGAACTGCTCTTAGTACTTTGCAAACAGATTTCTGTAAAGTCCCCGTTACCTCTCAGCAATGTCATTAAGGAAATATAACTGTTACATTCCAATGAAATCAGGAATTTCTAATTTCTACTGCAGCACCAGCAACTCCAAGAGACAGGAAAAAATATTACAACACAGCATCATAGTATTCAGCACCCAGCCCTCAACAATTCTTTAAAACACATTTTCTGATAAACAAATTCTGGAAGTTGCTCCTTACCGTTCCCTCATCTGCAAACCTCCTGAGATAGTCTGTCAGTTCCGTCTTTAAATCATTGTATTCTGAATGGCAAAGCAAAAGCAAAGAAAAACAAAAAAACAGTAAGATATCCAGTTTTAGTTTAACACTGACTCAAGCAGACAACTTGTTCTACTCCTTGTCACTCATTAGGTTTATTTCAGACAAATCTAGGCTTGAACTGGATTATAATTAATAATAATTAAAAAGACAAGTCCAGGTAAACATGAGAAGCCTAATAATTTGAGAGTAACCCATGCAGTGTGACTATCTGTTTGTGTTGATTTCAGAGCAATGTATAGAGTTCAGTGAATGAATTAGTACAATTAATTAAAAGACACTGCAAAAGCCAGCGTAGGTTGTGGCAGAAAGTTCCAGCCTGTAACTCGGGATTGGCCAACTGTCCTCTCCAGAGTGCAGAGCCCTCACCCAAGAGGGAAACACAGCTCCAGGTATAAAATACCTCAGCAATGCTTTGTCAATATTCTCTGCAGCAGAGCTGCAGGGGACACCTGACTGGCACTCTCTAGCCAGGAGATTGCCAAACAGCAGAACAGGGTAAGATAAATAAGCTAGACAGCATAAGTGCAAATGAACGTTAAATATACACATTAAATACATTACAATCAATACAGTACCTAAGATGTTAAACTGGGTGAAGGTTCCCACACCATCTAGTGTCTTGCTCTAAGGTGAAGTTGTAAGAATGGGCCAGAGAGGACCGACTTCTCCAGAGTAATCCTGGCTGAGGTGTGCAACCTGTCAGTCTGCATGTTACTTCAAAAATAGCTTTGACACTACACTGCAAGACCTGATACTAATGTCTTGTGGGAAGCTGTTCAGTTAAAGTGTTAAGGCATATTCTAAAAATGAAGTTGTATTTACCGCAGATGAGTTCCACTTGCTGAACTCTGTTCATGCTGTTAAGGGTGTCCATTAAAGGATCTCTTCTCTCCGTCTCTTGGTCACTGGTACCTTTGTTTTCGTAAGCCAAGACAGTGTCACATTCGTCTGTCAGGAACTGGACTTCAAGGTCTGAATACATTTTCTGGAAAATAAAGTAAAATTTACTTTTACATGACAAAACTTCTCAGGTGGGAGATGCTCTCCCCCAGTCCTTTTTGTGTTCAAGGTCACAAAGAACAGCAATTATCAGGTAAATTTGTATCCAGCATTTCAGACATTTCCCCACACCAACTTCCAAAGCAATCCTAGATTTAAACAACAAAGAAAATACAAACGTTTAGAAGCTCCTTTGTGCTATATTAATTCACAGGAATCAGTGTGTTTCTTTAGGTGGCATGAAGGGGTTTTTCAGTGTTTATATGCAGAGTAAGAACATTTACACAGATTTTACCTACAGCTCTTCAAAGATTCTCTGGGAGCTCCTCCCTGCCTCTCCCAGAGCAGTGATGGTAATGAAGAGAGCATACATACCAAACAGTCTTCACAGGTGCATAATTTGCTCCTCCAGTTCGATGGCCAAAAGGTAGCAGTATCTTTTTTCAAGAATGGCTTGCTTTGGAGCTCCTTCAGCTTGCAGACTGGTTCCTCACTCTTAGTAACTACCTGAATTAAAATGAGGCTGTTCAGCACCCTGTAACATCACTTCAAAGACACTCCGTTCTTTCTGGCACGTCCATTTCCTTAGGCAAGATTTTTCTTTTGTCTCAAAGACATTTATTTTTATAAAAAACCTGTATAACCATCCACATGAGGATTCTGATGTGGTTTTAGCAATTTCCACTAGAAATTTCTGTAGAAATTTCCTGCAATAGCTGTAAGTGTTTAAGAACTCAGAGCTGGACCATCACACAAGTGCAGTTACAACACATAATACCCCTGTGTAATAACAAACAGAAGTCCCCTCAGTGTCCAGGCCAGTTGGCTGACAAGAAGGGACGGATCTAACCCATCTGCAAACAGACACCACATCCTTGGACAGCCCCGTCCCACATCCTACACTGTGCTCCACAGAGACTGCGCGTCTGAAGTGTCAGTGACTGAAGAGGAACACGGGAACAGACTGGATGCATTCACCCCTTCCCTGAGCCTGTGCAGAGCGAGGTGGGCTTCACCTCACCTATCAGCAGTATAAAGCTGTGCAGGCCAGAAAAGAAGGCACACTTTACCTCAGGACAGGCAGACCCAGAGCTGGTGGATGGTTCATTGAACTGTTCCGTTTGCTTTTCCTCCTTTGTGTCTTGGTGTTCCACTCCACTTTCTTTTTTTATTTCTTTTTTCTGCTCTTCACTTTCCTCAATCTTCAGGACAATCCCTTCATCTTCAAGAGAGTTCACTTTGGTCAAAGGAGGAACTGGAAGATACATATCCACATAAGTGAAAATATTGTGCCAGACAACATACAGGCCACCACAGATGTTCTCTCTGCTTCACAGTGCAGTGTTGGAGAGCATCTAGATCCCCTCATACACTGCAAGGTCCTGGATACACTGTAAGCTGTCCAAACACACAGTGACTGAGGTATAGAAAGAAACTGCTCCTTCTTTCACCATAGTCTCCTTCACCTCTCATACCCCATTCTAAAACACTCTGCTTCCCAAAATCTAGGAAGCCCTAGGAGAGGGAAGAGGGTATCACAGTTTAAGATCTGATTTGCTTTACCTGCTAATTGCGATGCATAAGCCCATAGGAAATGGCAATGCTTCATGCAGGCCTGGCACACCATTTCATGGAAGTCTCCACTTTCAGGGGGAACGGCACCAAGATGCTGTCAGAAACAAGCACACAGTAGTGAAGCATCTGCTGCAAATTAACAGACTCAACTCCAGGTTTAGAGGAAGGAAAACATCATCTGCCATCACATTTTCAGAACAAGCAAACACTTCTCCTAACTTTCTACAATGACTATTAGAACAATGTGAAGACTGGAAAGAGCTGATAAAAACTCCAGGGAAAAACTCAAATAATTTTGTTTGTCTACACCCTTTTATGCCTTCCACATACCCAGAAATCTCATTTCTAAATAATATTCTGCTAAACTGTCCCAAACATAGGAAAGGTAAAGATAGCTCTTGCATACTGCACATTTCAACTCTTAAATGACTTTTTACAGTTCCTTCCTCACATGTAAAAGACTGTAAAGTCTTCATACTGATAACATACGTAACTCAAGAATTAGCTCCCAAAGCTCTCCATAAACTGGTGAGAACTATTTGGGCAATCAAAAGCACTTAGTGGCTTTCTTTTTAAAAGCATTCCTTTAAAGTTCACAGTGTGCAGCACAAGAGTCTTCATTCCCACACTTAACCAAAAGAATCCAACAGTTTATCTACAGAACACATAACTGAAGCCAATCATCATTTTTTAGTACTCTTTGATCTTGCAACTTCAAACATGAAATTTCACTCGTGCCCTTTGAGGCACAAGAGGCTGAATTCTTACTGCTTACCCATTATGTAGGACACTCACCACAGTGCTGGGCTGCTTTTAAAACATTTTCCCAAAGTTCCAAATCAGGAACGAACAGCACATTAATGAATGTGCTACTTAAATGAATTAGAAGTTTAGAAGGCATTATTTTGAATGAAGAACTATTCAGGTAGTTGATAATGGTGTGCCTCAGTAAGAATCTTTTCCTCACCGACTGTACTGATCTGAGTTTTCTAATTAAAGAGACAGCTATAAAGCTATTACTTTATTCCAAAGTGGTAACCTTCAAAAAGGTAGGACTCTTCCTAGTGTTTCTGGACTGGACAGCAGTGCAAGATTAGACTTTCAATGTTCCTTTGCATAGAATGAAAACAAATACCTTAAAACTCATGTAATACTCTGTTTTGAGAACCACAGCAAACTTCCCAAGTAAAAACAACCACACACAACTAACCAGCACTAACTCATTTCTGTGCAAATGGCAATTCTGCTATTTATGGTTTCCTTACCCTTCCATGGAACCAGTCTTCACAAACTATGCATTGGATCATCTCATCTGGAATCTAGATGAACAGTCATATTATTAGCATTAATAACAGCCTCCAGAATCTTTCACAAGCCTCAAACTGCAGTATTATATAAAGTCTGCTCGGGTGAATTGCATTTCCCTCTTCACCCCCCACAGGGAGCTGCCATTAATAAGTAGTTAGTGCTTCACCAGTCAGTTTACTTCCCCCAGGTTCAACAGCTCATGTCATCTGTCATACTAAGAAGGCTGAGGAAATTCCCATTTATTATTACAAAATCTGTTTTCCCAGCAGGGCAAGACTTTCTCACACAAAGAGCTGATAAAAGTTAATACATTACTGGTATCTTTCTTCCTGTAAACAGAAATGCATGAACAGGCAGCTCAACAGAAGGAAGATACTGATACTCATGATGTCAACAGGACTGTATAGGAATGCCAGAATACGAACTTAACTGGTCACGATGCAGCTCAGTACAAACTGCTTTGTTATGAAACAATTATTAATGACCTCTTCAGGGATGTTTAGCTATCTCTGCACTTTACAGAGGTGAGTTTATAAAATACTTTTGTTCGTATGTGAAAGACTTGTGCCTTCCTTATTCTTTAAAACACCTGACTTCTCTGACTGCAAACAGCACATGCAAACCCAGTGCTGTGTTTTAGTACTTCAAACAGACAAAAAATGTTCTGGCTACTGTAAAGGAAAGCTAAAGCCAGTGCTACAAGACAGACTCTCCCCATCCCAGAAGCCTTGTGAGAGTACAGCTGCAGGCACCAGAAGCAGGTTCTGGTCTCTCCTAGCATGTGCAATGTGCTTATTCTGCACTCACATGTTTCTCAAGATGATGAGAAACCCATCCCCTGAGGGAACTCTACAACTCCAGAGAGGGGAAAGCAGAGAACTGCAGCACCACTTTGTCCAAATGATGGTTTGTCCTCCTCATATGCCTTTAAGGCATATACATATTTTACCATCAAAAAAAAAAGAAAAGAATTAATTACCTTTATACAGCACATGACAACCAATATGGAACTTAAGATTTCTTAAAGTGGGATCTTCCTTACGAAGCAGCTCAGTGACCACTCTTTACACAGTATCTTGCATAAATACCATCTATATACGACTGCTACTGTGTTTTGTATTTCTTACCTCATCTTCAGGATCAGGATAAGGTCTTTTACAAGTACAGTATAATCCGTAGAAATTGTCATTATATTTATTTCCTGCATTCACCTTGCCCTTTTCCTGGGAGGAAGGAAGAAGTGTCTTAATAGACAATGCAGTGAAAAACAAAAGACAGAAAATATGCATAATCTGGAAAAAACCAATTTCTGTTCCACCTTAATTCCTAAAAGCAATCATCACATTCATCAGCCTGAATATCCAAGAAGAAACATATTATCCAGACACCTGTGCTGTAAAGTGAGCAACAAACAGGGCATGTGAGGAATGCTGAAGTTGAAAAGCAAAGAGGAAAAACAGTCTGCCCACCTTTGTAACAACTGTGTCAGACAGATTAATGGACAAATGCTGAAGTTCACTTAACCTGTACAGCTGATTTTGCACTGGACTGATGCAGAAGGAAAAACCACTTGATCCATTTCACTAAATGGATTCATTTAAATGAGAAACACTAACATGTTAAACTTGTCACACCTGTCTCTGCAGGGATCACTGCACTGCAGCTTAGCTGACTAGCTCTGGATCCCTCCCAGTTCTCCCAGAATAAAACGGACATACACAAAACCACTGACTGTTTCTACATTTGGACTGTTATTATCCTGGGAGCAACACTGCAGGCAAGCTAAGCAGTGTCCTGTCACTGCTTCACAGATTACCAACTACTTGGCAAGTTCAAAACACCCACCAAGTATGAAAGCATAGGCACCTTAATACAGTAAAAAACATCAGTAGGCTCTGGTGACAACCTGTCAAAAAATATTAGGGCACTAAGAAGGAAAGGAAACTGTCTCTTTGACAGCAGCACAGCCTTAAATCTCCTTAACACAACTTCAAAACTGCAGCCCAAAAGATTCTTCTGAAACCAGCTTAAAACTAATGAGATATATCAGTGCAGACACCTCAACATGCTGCTGGCAGCACAGCAATTGCTGCATTCACGGATGACAAGGACCAAACGTTCCCTCTCCTCTCAACATTTCCCTTTGGTCCCTCTCCTGCTGTAATACTCCCTCCTTTCTTAACTTGCTAGGAAGGCTGGAGGCGTCGCATGAGTCAGCACCGGCTGAGGCGAGGCACCAGCCTCCCAGGAGTGTGTTATTTTGACTCTGAACGTCTGAAAACCCGCCTGAACTCACCGGGAATAACTTGCACTGCAGATTCTTGAACTTGCTATTCCCACAGTCACAGCGGAAATTCCTGGAAAGAAAAACGCAGCGTTTCAGGGGGGTTTATTAACCGAGAACGCACTGGGTTTTGTGTTCATAACAATTCCCAGGAGTTTATTGGGAGCCACGGGAGCTGTGAGGGACCCGCTGGCGGCTGAGGGGGCGCGTGCTCCCCCCCCCTTCCCGCCGCCGGCGACGCGAGCCCCGCCGCCTCGCCCTTTCACCCCCGTTCCCGTCCCGTCCCGTCCCGTCCCGTCCCGTCCCGTCCGTACCTCTTCGTGTACAGCTCGAAGAGCCGGTGCGTGCCGTGGCACTCGTAGCTGCAGGCCAGGCAGATCCCCGCCGGCTCCGCGCGGGCGGCGTGCAGGTGCTGCAGGCGTTACAGCGCCTGCCGCTTCACCGCGCTGCCCCTGCGGGAGACACCGACCGACCGCCCGCGGGATGAGGGGGCGCCGGGGGGAGAGGGGAGGGACGGACCCCGCCCCGCGCCCCGCCCTCTGCCCCACCCCGGCCCCGGGCCCCGCCCACTCCCCCAGCCCGCGGCCCCCCGGCCCGCCCCCACCTGATAGTTAGCTGCCAGCGCTCGTGGTCGCTAGCCCCCTAAGCACGGCCCGCGCTTCCTTCTCCAGCTCCCTTCTCCGCCAGCACCTCCGCCAGGGACACCACGGGCTCCTCGGCGCCGCGGCCGCCGCCGTGCCCGGCTCGGCGCCCTCGGGAGCCGCCGCCTCCATGTTCCGCGGCTGCGCGGGGCCGCGAAGCGCGGCGGAAACCGGGCGCGGGGAGGCGCCAGGGGGCGCCACGGCGAAGCGGAATCGCGCGCGCCCCACGTGACCGGGGGCGGTTGCGTCGGGGCCGGGCGCGCGGCGGGCACGTGACCGGCGGGGCGGGCGGGCCGGGCACTGTGGGCGGAGAGGCGGCAATGGCGGAGCCCGCGGCCGCACCGAGCGTGGTGCGCGGAGCTGCGCTGGCCGCGACGGTCGCGGACGAGGACGTGCTGAGTGCCGTACCGGCGGCGGAGGGGGCGAGCCGCGCAGCTGCGCGGGCTTGCGAGGGGCCCTGTCCGAGCTGCAGGAGCGGGTGTGGGCTGCTTTGCCCGCCGCTGGTGCAGGAAGGAGCGGGAGGCGGCGGGCGGCGCCGACGGGCGCGGTGAGTGGGCGGGGGCGGGCGCGGCCGGGGCGCTCCGCGACACGGGACACCGCCGCCGCTCACCCGCTGCAACCCCGGCAGGTGCTCTCGGGGATGACGACGACGAGGAGGACGACGACGAAGAGGATGAAGGCGAGGACGAAAACAACGTGGACACGGCGGCGAGCGGCGATGACCCGCCCCCGAAGCGGACGAAGGTGCAGCAGCCGTGAGGGCGGCGCTGTGCGGCGGGTGTGCGCTTAGACAGCCCCGCTCCGCTGAACCGACTGTAAGTGCCCCGGGCCCGGTGCCCGGGACGGCTCCTACGGCGCTGCTGCTCCTGTTTTAAAACCGAAACGCCCATCCCAACACTGTTTTGATATGGAAGCTGTATGGAAAGGATGCGCCTGGGCGTGAGCAGCGTGTTGTTTATGGGGTGACAGTGTTACACTGACAGTACTTTTTAGCAAACTAGTTGACAAATACAAAACTTTTCTTAAAAGTCTGATTGCTACATGTTTTTATTGACTTCTTCCATGTCACAGTATTTCTTCATGTGACCTTAACTTTTAAAATAAAGCAATAAAGTCTGGAAAGTTATTTTTTCAAATATGAGCTTAAAATGGTACAAGAGAATTTGCATGGAGAGGAAGCAATATGTGACCACTACAGTATCGAAATTAAAAAACATGTGTAGGACTCTGTCTATTCCTGTACAATGGAAGATTATTTTTGCCTACCTGAAAGGCTTAGTCACCCATCAATCAAGTATTTTCCTGGAAGAAGTCAGACAAAGTAGATACAAAGACTTGGGAATCTTGGTTTCAAAAACTCAGGTTTCATATCGGCCAGGAAAGTGACAAGTCAGTGTGACTTTGATAATTACTATTCCACAAGTCAAAAACCACTGTTTGTCCTAAGCCTGTTTTCTCCAAATAGCTTTTTTCCCCTGCCTCTTTTTTTCATGCAGCATTCAATCTTTATATACTTACTTCCCTCACTGAGTTTTACCCAGGTTGATTTTTAAGCTCATTTGGTAGCTAAGTCAAGGGAACATCACAGCTTAATATTCTCCTAATGCAGAACTCCCAACATTACCTAAAAACAAGAAAAAAGAAAGCAGAGTGGTTTTTCTGAAAAGCTTTCTAAAACCAAAATTGGACATAAACTAAGGGAAATGTAGTGGTGTTCTACACTGGTTCCTGTAGTTTATTTTAGAGGAGGAGAAGGTCTAAATACTTCAGCAACACCTGTGAGTACATTATGTGTAACAGTTCTTGGCTGTATGAATCAGCATAACCCAATCCCTCTGCTAAGCAGCATGATCTTTTTTTAATGATAATGCAGCATGCAGAATGTCATTAGTGTAACAATCTTCTTGCAAGGGGCAAGTTGTCAATGCTGCTTTAGTTCCTAGTTTTTGTTTGGTGCATGCTTCTGTGAACAGGTATAAAACACTCCTGATAGCCAGTCCATAGAGACTGAGTCTTCTCTCGCAGAAGTTAACTGCCTGACTTAATAGTAGGAAAAACATTTTGGGGGTTAATTTTCATGTGTTCTGCTGACAAATTTTTTTTATGTATTATGGAAAGTGAGCAAATCTTGTGACTTGTATACAGAGGACAAAATATGGGAATAAATTAATAATTTTTACGAGGACAAAATTGTCTGCATTCATTTGAAATGGTGGGAGGGGGGGAGTCAGAAATGAGGTCCAGTAAACGTATCATTGACATCTTTATGTACTCTTATTCTAAGGAAGTATTTTATTGGCAGATAGGACAGAGTCATATCTAAGGAGAAAAGACCAACTCGGAAGACTAGGGAGGTTTAGTTGCTGAGGACCTAGGGTGAGAGGGTATTACACAAATAAATTCTGATTTTTTGTCAAGCTGCAAAATCTTAAAATGATAAAATGCTTAAAGTGTTGTGGGGTAGATAATTTATTGCAGGAAGTGGCTTATCAAAATGGCAAAGGCAACGCTTAGTACAAAAAAATAGCCTCATCTTTTATGAGCTCTGTTCTGCAGCTTTGGAAGCTTGTTGTACAGCTACATCTGAGAGCAGCATTTTCCCTTTTCTTTCCTTGTCCCCCCTGCAGACTTAACACCCCAGCAATGGTTTGAACTGTGGGAGGGCTGAAAAGCAACGTTTAATGTTAGGCAAGAATCTGTGGCTTTTACATATATGTAAGCAGTCCACTGGCATATCAAGGGCTGAAAACCTCTGGCCTAAAGCAACAAACTCTAACTTTACTAGCACAGGACTAAATGCAGGTAACACTCTAGTAATGGGATACTTTTTTCTGTCAGCCTGGACACAGCTGTCAGCTGTCAGCTGCACCTGAGCTCCGGAAGATACTGATGAACATTGGGTCAAAAACAACCACTCAAGTTTCTGCCTTTTAAGAATCTTTTCTAGTCCTTATTGTAGCCACAGAAACTTTCATGTGAGGAAAAGGGCACTGGAACTTCATGGGACCTTATGCAATTCTAAACTGTAAGTTTGCTTGTGACTGAAGTGCCCTAAACAGAGAACTTCATTTTTCTGGGAATTGTTGCAACGTTACCTGGCACAGGAAACTTCAGCGTAATGCGGTTTCCCACCCTTCCAACCCCTTTCAGGACTTACCCTACAGTTGAGTTCTGAACCCCTTCTGGGGAGCCCCTAAATCACCTGTGGCCCCTGCATTGTAGGTAGAGGAGGTAAGCTCTGATGGAAGAGTGATGGCAAATCCTTTATCTCAAGAGACATGTAGTGCTTTTGTACCTAACCAAATTTCAGGCTGACACAGAACAAGCTCAGTTCACCACACTTGCACTGTTTAGTGCAGTTTGTATGCCTTACTAATAGAAGTTGGTTTTACTAGCCTCATGGGGGCTCAACGGATTTCCTTACTAAAATAAAGCGGGAGAATGCTGGTATGTTTGTATTGAATTAAGAGCTGAAGTGATACTAAACTCCTGGTAGCATTTAGATGAGAACCAACTACTTTTACTAGTTACAAAACAGAACAGCAAAAATGTCGAAGACTGGGATTATGACATACTGTTGTTACTTCTTTCAAATACTGAATTTGCTGGTTCAAACAACTTTGAGGCTAAATCCACAAAGGAATTTAACAGGTTGCAGTGTTCTCTGTTTAAAAAGTTTAAAATCACAAGTATATTTATGAGGCACATAGATAGTTCTGTGAGGGAAAGGGGCCAATTCCATTATGCCCAATAACTGGGGCATTGTCTAAAACTGCAAGACCTTTTCTAGTTCCCAGGAGAAAGGTCCACTGTCATCATTTTCATTAAAGGGTTTGAATGCAATTCACCCATTGCAGCCCCTATGTAACTCCCACTCACTCAAGCTTAAAAGTTCATTTATACACAATGTATTACAAATATCAGGTTCTCTATAAAATAGAGAGTAATCTGGCAGTTAGGACATCATAGGGCTTAACATGTGGTAAAGAGGCTAACACTCAGGGGTGTAAACAACTGAAGAGTGGTTTTGGGCACAACCACTAGCCAAATGTATTAGTCATGAGTTCTACTCTGAGGACTGACTTGAGCAGAAGTACCTTCTTATGGCTGTAGCATGTTCTTTCCTCCCAGAAGAAACCTGCACCATAGGGTTAGCCTTAAGGAGAGCTGAGTCCGTTCTTAAAATTTAACTATGTGATAAAGTTATTAAACTGCTTTCATGCATTAGGTCATATATAGAAAACAGGTTCTCAAAGACTGGCACGTGAAAAGCAGCATTTTTTTTAGAAACTAATAGAATAATAAACTAGAGAACATCCATTTAAGAAAACAATGGACTAGGCAAGAGAAAATATGGGGAGTTAATAGGTATCCTGCACAAACTGGAAAGTTTTGTTCCAGGGATAAGTCAATCTTTATATTTTTAATTAAGAACCAAGCTTGCAGTTTTACTTTGCTGCTGGAAGAGACATGTCATAAGGAACATATTTATTGCAACTTACTTCGGTCCCAAGTTTGAAGGGCTGCAGCCTGATGCTATGCTCTTCATTAGACCTACTCCCCATGGCAGGAAGTGAAGAACAGGCTCAGTAGCACTCACAAACACATACGTGGCAGACAGGAAGGCACTGTCAGGTGAAGGTCAAGCAGCTAAAGAAACTGAGACTGCCCACGTGATGTTCAAGCAGTCTGCCAATGCTTTATCTTGAGACAAAATGCAATAAAAAGAAATCCAGGGTAGGTGGCACACAGATGAATATTAATCACCCTTGTGCTACAACTACTCACTTTGTTGGCAGAAAGTTAAAGCTCTGAATTATTACTAAGCTAGTAGAGTTTAGCAATCTTCTGAGGACTTTGTTACTGCTTCTATTATTCCAGCTTCTGCTGTAGGAAGCTCTTCAAGATCAGGTTTGAGGTAACTCATTTTCAGTCAAAAGACTATGAGTAAAAATAGCTTTCCCACCCCAAGTGAAAGTTACAGTAATTCATCTTTGCTGCCTAGTCAGTGAAAACAACTAAATAGATTTGTATAAGCAAGTTCTAGCATAAGCTAATCTTATACTAGATTAATGCCACTGCCCTAGAAACATACTTGTGCCATTATCTGCCAGTTATGATCAAGAACTAAT